GTTTTATCTTTGATTCTACTATGTCTCTCTCTTCTCAGATTAATAGTGTTGCTAGAAGCTCTTACTTTCATCTACGTAGAATAAAAAAACTTTTGCCTTTTCTTGATGATCCTACTCTTCTCCTTCTTGTTACTTCGTTAGTCTTATCTAGGATTGATTATTGTAACTCGCTCTACTATGGTCTTCCTGACTCTATACTCTATCCTTTAAGTAAAGCTTTTAACTCTGCTGCTCGTCTAGTTGCTCGTGCCCCTTTCTTTTCTCATATATCTCCATATCTTGTTCTCTTGCACTGGCTACCTATAAAATATAGAATAATTTTTAAAATTTGCACGTTCATGTATAAGTCTCAATCTAAATTATTTCCTAAGTACTTATCAGATATATTAATTGAACCTAAACGCCCCGGTTTACGATCGTCTTCTTCTCGCTTTTTCTTAACTCGTGTTAAACACTCTTTTGCCAAATCTGCTTTTGCTTTTTCTGGTCCTTTTCTCTGGAACTCTCTACCTACTTCTCTAACTATTTCTCCATCACTTGCGAAGTTCAGAGCGGATCTCAAGACCCATCTGTTTTCACAATTCATTGAGGAGCGCTGTTGAACATCGCGGAAATAGCGCTTTATAAGCTGATTGATTGATTGATTGGATTGATTGAAATTGTAAAACACCGAGTCAACAGAAAATTTGTTGAAAAATTTTAAATTAAAAAAATAATTTGAACGATGATTTTGTCAAGTTTATTATTAACTTTATTTAGTTAAAAAATATTAAAATAAGTTTAATAATAAAATAACAAGACTGCAATAAATTTGATTATTATTAAAACTTACAAGACGCCAAAGCAAAAAGCAATATTCGACATTTATAACTTATTGAAAAATTAATTGATTGATTAATTAACTAAATAATCAATTCAAAAATTTCGAACATACACAATGTTTTTGTTATCGGGATATCCTACAATAAAAATTTATTTTAAATGAAATGTAATTAATTTTAATTAAATTTTGGAAAGTATTTAAACGTTAAAATTTGACAAACTGACCGCATGCGCTCGGCAATGAGTTTCATTGGAAGTAATTCCAGTTATTCACACCAGTAAAATAAAACAGTTGGCAATATAATAAAATAAAAAAAAATATTTAGCTGGGTCACTAACATCGTTGGATATGTAGTTGAAAGCATTACAATTGATGCTACTATTATCAGTGGACGAAACATTATGAAAACATGTGGCGAACACTCCGTTAATGATCGCATGTTGGTTAGTACTGCGGTAGGTTCGGAGACAAAACACACGTTGCTGTTTGACTCTCCTATCATTCGATAAATCTTGTCAACTGCTCAAACTAACGAGTGTACTGGTGACAAAATGGAAGTGATGAACAACAAAAATATAACAACAACATTTTAGATGTAGATATTTCAGCTTTTCTAAACTTCAAAATCGCTCCGATTATTTTATTTTTAATAATAATTCTCAACTTACATATTTTATAGCGAAAAAGCCCATGTAATATTTACATATAATAGTTATTCCTAAACATGAAATACTCTAAATTTGAAATTCTGGCAGATATTCAAAGGTAAATTTTTAATATAATCCGTAATTTTATAGAATGTTAATGCGATTAAACGAACGATTTTTGCCGGTT